GGGGAATTCTGGGAGTTGAAGTCCACCCATCCTAAAGTTGCCAAGGTTGAGAAACACTGATATTGTCTAATGAAATGCACCGGGAATAGTCATATAAACTACTTTTAATGATCATATTAACATCCCTTTCCCATTCAGAGTGCAGAGGCTGGTCTTTCAGGAGGCAGGAATGACATCACCCTTGGATGCCAATCACCAGCTCTCCAGGTAAGGACAGAAGTCCAGCCGAAGATGCCCATGGGGTGACGAACTAATATTCTGAACATCTGGAACCTAATGGAAGATGAAGAACTTTGCCATGTGCAGGGGCCAGAGTTAAAAGCAATGGAAAATTTTATTACGCCTGATTTAAAACCCTGAATAGAAGGCATGTCTTCGTGTTCTACAGGCCTTTGGTTGATCTTGTGGAAAATCTGATCAATATGACTCCGTTGGGTCAAGGTTTAACTGATCATTTCAGGCCTTTTGATTTATCTTTTGGTGCTCTTTCCATTTCTTCATCAGCCACCTTGTGCCCCTAACATACAGTTTTGCCCTATGTTCTTGCTCCCGTAAACAGCGGGCTTTGCAGCTACTTCAAAATCACGCACAAAAGAAGCCAAGCTAGAAACAAACGAAGGGGCAGAGCAAAGAGGGGCAGAGCCCACCCTCTGAAGCCAACAGCTGCAATTTAAGCTGTTCCACAACCTGTATTTAAAAGGCTGTTGGCCCCACCTCCTTTCTCGCAATGACACTTTTAAAAACAGGCCATCGAAGCCGTTATCACACTTAAGCAAGGGGTGCAATTTGCCTGATTATGGTGTTAAAACCTGCAGGCGCATCTGTGCCCTCCACACGACAGAGGGGAGCAGAGCATCGTGCAATTAAGGCAGTGCCAACCAACTGGCACGCGCCCATAGAGAGGAAACCGGCAACTTTGTCCACGGCCAGCTGGCTGAGTCCTGACAGGCTGATGTCAGCGAGGAAAGGCTTTCCAAGAGATTGAGGGGGCCCAGAGGGTGTGGTCAAAAAAGTCAAGATGGTGGCTGCAGAGGTGCTGTTTTCTTACGGGCATCCTCAATTGCTGACAAGGGCGAACAAGGGGCCTAAAGGAATACAAGTAATATTATTATGTTCTGGTCCTGTAATTAAACTCTGCCCATCCGCCACATTAAAAATATGATTTGGTAGCAGCTTTAGGTCTCCTAACTGGGGGGGGGGGGGTTCAGGGGCCCCGTCTGGCAGGAGTTCTCCGGATGGCAGGCTGAGGTGGGGCGCAAGGGCGGAGGGGCAGGCGAGGGCTGGAGAAAGACTTACGGGTGGAATTCACACCACAGGCTTGACTCTCAGCTCGGACTGCTGGGCTTACAAATGAGTAAAATCCTTGAGAGCTTAACACGGTGGCTGGATTCCCGCAACATGCTGATCCACCAACGTCCCAGACCCATTTTAGCCTGGTCTTGCGTGTCACGTGAACCCATCCACGGAGCCCAACGCGGAATGGCTGGAACACACCAGGACGCCATTTCTCCACAGCCCCCAAAACTTGGATTTTACATTTTTGGAACTGAGCGGGTCTGGCAAAGGCCCTCAAATGGCACATTCCCAGCGGCCTGGCTCCATCCCCTCCTTCTTTGGAAGTGGGCTTCCGTTTCTGCGGGGCACTCCTGTTTTTGCTACTGATGCCCCCCACCTCTCGCTGGCACCGGCACCCACGCCAAGCCTCCAGCTCCACTTGCTGCTTTGGGAGCTGAAAGGGCTCACTTCTCAAGCTGAAAGCCTATATTATTTTCCCAACTGGACCCTGCCCTCTCCCTGCTGAGCAGACCCACGTTTCCTCCTCCTCTGCACCAGGCCTCGCCATAAATAATTATCCCCTTTCAAGCCCCAGAAGATGATGCCGGCCCCAGCTGCTTGTGCTGAAGCGACCTGCTATTTGCTGCTGACAGGATGAGCTGTCCCAGACCCCCGTCAGCCTGCAAAGCTGCACCGATGAATTTAGCTGCTTCGGCACGTGCAACGAAGCATCTCACGGCTGCAGCTCTTCCATATCATCTCCCCAAGAAGTCATCTTTGCAAACCATGCGTCCCCCCCGCCCCGCCAATTCCATGCCCTGGAATTCGGTTCAGAGTGGGGATCAATCCAGCAATGCTGGAACTTAAGTCCCAAAGAAGTGGGGAGCAAATGCAGCAGAAGCCTCCTCTCCCCTCCTCATGAAAAGCCCTCCAAGATGAAATGGAACAAGCATTTCCAGGACATTAAGGATAATAAATAAAAGAGAAGAGGGGAGAAGGAAGGAAGGAAGGATAACATTAAAAGCAAACCAACAGCTATGGCTTGGGTCCAGAGTTTACAAAAACCCTGTATCTTCGTGAAGGGATCCTCACCTTCCCACCTCTCGAAGCCCGGCCCCACCTGCCAGAAATGCCCCAAGCACTCCTGTTTTACTTCTTCAGGTCAAAACCGATAAAGAATCCAACAGACCAACAATGGCAAGAATGATACAGAAAAGTTATGCCTGCTTCGTTTACTCCGTTTTCCAGGAGAAAAGGAACACCCCAACACAGCCCTCCGATCGCCGGCACGGAGGAAAGGCGCTGATCGACCCCTCCAGCTAAAACACGCTGCAAACTGGGCATAGTAAATCATGCACCCTCGGCGTTTGCACGTCCTGGCGGCGTCACCCCGTTTCCCCTCCTCCTCTAAGGCTGCTGTACAAGGTCAAGGGAGACAGAATTACCTGCTCGCGCGCTTCCTTCACCCAAGACGAACTGGAGAGGCACACGCAGGAGCAAAGTCTGCCCATTCCAGCCCAGAGAACTGGG